AACATCGACCAGACTACACAGCGCAACAACCCAGAAGACAGAAATCATCATACTCACTGCTGTGAAAACCTCAAATCTTACAATACTAAAATTAGTAAAATGTTTGATTTTCCCCCGCTAAGTCATAATTTCCCTCTTCTGTCGGCCATCAATTTTCAGTGCAAGTGCACAGAAAAATAAGATCCAATGTTTGCGTAATTTTGTAGCCCAGCTTATCCTAGCAATACCGACACTTTCTTACTGGAAAAATTTTCTTATGCTGTAAAAACAAATACAGTGCTGTGATCCCTATAATCAGTTTAGTTATCATGAAGAATACAGCAAATTTACAAGCCATGAGTATATCCTCTTAGATGTGAGGAATGTAAAAGTTGGTACATATTTATTTTTAATGTATGCAACACTGGTGTTGCACATCCTACTATTTCGCAATCAAGTCAGATCCGAAAAGTTACTCACCTTTAAAAACATGAATCTCTCTTTGTTCCGTTCAAATTCCAAATCCTGATTCTTCTGTAAAGCATCTGGCCTAAGGGCATAAATAATACAAATACGTATGTAAAGGGCATATCCAAAATTGCAGGCAGATCTTGATGTGCCTGGGAAGATCTAGCTTAGCCCATTTGTTACGAGGAAACCACAAAAGCCAAAGTATGTAAATATATATAGGAGCTCTTTCAGCCGAAGTTTGCTTCTAATATAAGACATACAATCTGCCCATTACTACTTACCATTGTAATGGACAAAATAATTGCAGTAGAAATAGGAAGATAGAAATCCAAGAACCTTCATACAGACAAGTGAGGTACTACTAAGGCAGAATAAAGAAGAAAGGTTTGAAAATGAAGTCAATAAATGTAATAAAATCTAGAAAAGTTAAACTTAAAATTCATCTGGAATAAAAACATTCTCATCAGAATTAGAACAGCAGATAAAGCCATGCAAAAAATAAAATGTAATAGGAGCAGTCTCCGGTAAACTGAAAGAAATTACCTGGCAGTAAAATATCATCAAAAGGAAAAATTAAAGAGGAAACTACACAGAGGATCAAGAGCCAGGATATTTTACCACTAATACGAGATACAATTTGGAATAGATATATCACACAAAAGTTCCATTATGAAAGCAAGGCATTTGGCAAGAAGGCGAAATTAAACATGTGGTATGCAGACGTGTTAAGCGCGAATGAAAATAAGACTTTGGCAAGAAGGCGAAATTAAACATGTATGCAGACGTGTTAAGCGCGAATAAAAATAAGATACCTTTGAGAACATGAAGATGCCACGTATTTAATAGACCAAGTTATGAAGAAACATAAAAGAGTGCACATAGGTGGTGGCCTGTTTAGATGACTATATGAGAAAGACTTCATCATAAGACAAACAACACCGGTGGAAGCGTCAATAGATGCTGATACAGTGACATGATAATTTTAACTTCTGATAAGAAAAACCCCAGTAAAGAAAAGAATATCACCCAAATATATTAAATTATCTACCTTTACATGGGCACTCTATGAATACTACTGATAACCAGAGATTCATGTTGCATGATTCGACTGCATGACAAAAAAACGATAATGAATATTTGAACGATTTCGGGTTTTACATGCATTTGATAATATTGTTTGTCTTAGATATTTACAGCAGAGTCTGAGGACAGCCACAGAAAATCTGGTCTTGATAAGCATTATAAGAAATAATCCCACAGACTTGCCAGATATATGCTAATATATAAATTTTGAAAAAGAAAAAAGCCTGTAACAGGAGAAAAATTACAAACCCATTACATAAAAAGCACAATATGTCAGATATTTGCAGAACCAACAGACATATTTTTATGTACAAAAGTCTCGTACTTTAAACAAAACGTGTATCTGATTAGTGCTCAGCTGTATTTAATCAATTTTGACAACATTTAGTGGAAAAAAGTCTGTGAAATTCTTTCCAATCATTTTATTAAGCCACTGACTGTGATGAGCTGTATCATGTACTGCAGAGCAAGTGTTTCTACAAGACATACCAAAAATCACAGAGTACTATCTGAAAATATTTGTTAGAAAAAAAATCAAAAATGTGTGTTATACGTCAATCATTCCTACTTTGAATATTGACATTCTGCAACCTGCCCATTCATGTCCAGATCTGGCCGATGTCTAGAATTGCCCATAACATACATATAAGTACAGATATTACTAAATAAAGTTAAATATGTAAACATAAACTTATTTACAGACCATAACCTCTAAAAATGTTATTCTTAGATACAAGAATTCATTTTTTCTCAGAATTTCTTTACTGCTGGTGACAGCAATACACTGCACCCAACCCATAAAGTAGGTATACCAACCTTACAGCAGTGCCGAGAATAAAAATGCCTTCATCAATGCTATCATATTATAGATTTTAGGACGTAGAAAATAATATTATTTCTAGAATAAGCATTCACTTAAATTTCTAATTAATTGCATCTGAAACTACATTTACTTAAATTGAAAGTATGTGAATAAATGTGTCTTACATGTATCTGTATTTGTTAAAAAAAGGCTTGTGAGAATTTGGATTTCAACACTTACGTCCGAACAAAGTCCACTTGTACTGAATGATCAATGACAAGATCGGATGGGCATACAGGATTGATGCGGTCAGGATCACCACCAAGTTTCTTTACTGCATCACGCATTGCTGCAAAGTCGACCACAGCTGGTACTCCTGTGAAGTCCTGAAAATTTACAGAATAAAGTTATCAGTAAATTGTATGAGGGATTATCCACAGATCTCAATTATGAAAACTATCACCATCCATAAGAAAGTTACAGACAAATAAAATGACAACTGAAATTCTTGTGAAGAGTCAAGACAGATAAGTTAGGGCAATGTAAAGCATTCTACTGAATCAGCACTGAGCAATGTTGCCACTTCACCTCTAGTCATAAAATCTAATATTGACATGCATGCCATAATTCTGTTTAATGCTGTCATGTTGCAATATGGGAGTCAGCATAGTTCTGTCAGTAGTGACTAGACTGTGGGCTGGATGACTGGGTTTCAATTCTGAGCAGGGCAGGATTTTTCTCTTTGTTACAATGTCCAGACTGACTCTAGGGCCCACCCAGCCTCGTATCTGACAGATACCATATTTATTTCCTATGGTGTTAAGTGACCAGAACATGAAGCTCACCACTCACTAATACCCAGTGCCATGCCTAAGTTAAGAATGTGTGGAGCTATACCTCCACTCCAACATGTCTGCAGTGTGTGGTGTACAGTAATGTACCAGGGATAACTTCGCCTTAATATAATATAATGTATTAATTTTAATTATACATTTTTGAAATTTAATACATGACACTGCATTACATTATTTCTAATCAGTTGCATGTAAATAAGTAGCACAATTAAGCCATCATAAATCACAGGAAGCAACACTATTAGTATCATTCAACATTTTAAAGTATGTAAAATAAACCCACTAAAAGCCGATTCACTCAAATGAATGAATGTTAAACAAGCTGAGTGTTGCTGGTATCAAAATAAAAAAGAAAAAGTTAGAGATCTTGAAACATAAGATTCATAATGTGGAACACACACACTTCAGAATCATTACTGCACATTTACCTGCAGGATAACTCTTGCAGGCTTGAAAGCAACTTCAACTCCCTCTGGTACTGCCTGACTCTTCTCCCAGTCCAAGATGGCTTCAACATCTTGCTCTTTCACTTGGAAGTTATCGCAATTTCTTACTGCTGACTCCAGTAGTACACGTATTGAAAATGGCAATTTATCTGCAAAAAGAATTTAAAAATTATAAGGAGTGACATAATTTGTACTCTCCATCAAATCCTATAGGGTGATTAAATCAAGGAAGGTAATATGGGAATGGCATGTAGCATGCATGGGTAAGATGAGAAATACATACACAACAGTAGGTTGTGGACCAAATTTATCTGGCTCAAGACAAGGATCCGTGGTGGGTTCTTGTGAACACAGCAATAAACCTTCAGGTTCCATAAAAAAAAGATATTCCTTGATTAGCTGAGAGTACCATCAGCTCCCATCTACATATCCTAAATTCACATCCAAATAACAGCATACACAGCAGAATGGCACTCCTCTGCCATAGCTTAAGCACTTAAACATTCCAATATACTATATGAAACATCCATTTAAGTTTTCACTCATCCAGTTCCATAAATAGCACCAAATTGTAATGTTTCATGGCAGAAACGGTCAAATGGTTTCTAATTCATCTAATTACAATAAACCATATATGTGAATTTGTAACCATTTGACCATTTCTTAGACACACACTTACCATAGCTAGATCCCAGACTTGGTAAGTCAAAGAATTTGTACTCTTTTCCATCTACTGATAATTTCTTCAGATGGCGAATATATACTGTATTTTCTGAAAAGTAATACAATATTAAAATTAAAATGTACTTTCATAATAAAATTTCAATACAATGAGGTTACAAATGTGGTAGGCAGAAAACTACGTATTTCTAATTACATGTAGACTACTCTACGACAACCTGATATGACACATTAAAACCAATAACATACTGTAAAGTTGGTTTACTACATAACAAACACTAAAGATTCTTACGAAAATAACGTTTATTTAAAAGAATTTTTACACCGACCTTCCATAGCCACAAATCGTATCGTCACGTATACGACCGTCTGTTTTAGGCACGCGGCCAGTGGTATCTTCCAGCACTTACTTATGCATGGAAATGACATAACCTCATTATGTAACATTTGATTTATTGCATATAATGTAATTAAACAATAACATAAGTTAAAATACGTATAAAAGATGTTAAAATAATTTTAAATTTAAGGGGGCGAATTATGAAGCAAAACAATGGTTAATGTGTAACGTTATACGAAATGCTCCATCCTCTCTGCCCTTCTTCTGACTTCCTTGCATAAATTAATTTCCATGTGCAGTAGAAGAAACTATTTTGTTTCCAATGGTGTCATAACACTTCGTGGCTGTTTTTCTTCTCATGTTTTATTTGCACAACCTTTATGTGCACATAGGTTATTGTCCATGTCCACTTTTGCTGCAGGTTGCGGAAAGAAGATTGGCGTTTGATTTCTTGAACATTGCAAATCAGGACGAATAATAAATAAGTCATGGCTTATTTACTATGTCGACATTCTGAGGTAGCCAAGAGAAACTCAAAACACTTTGCGATTCTGGGACCACAGACCTAACCTGCTCTAAGCACATGCATTTGTATTCGGATTCCTACTGTGTATTAACTAACCAATTCTTGTGATGTCTGTAATGACATTAAGAGACGGTGGTTTTCAGGAGTTGGATATTGCAAATTAACAATCCTGGATTCCACAGTACTGTGGAGCATTAATATTACTACCTTTACATTAGGGTAACTTAGTTAAAATCAGGAAAGAACGGAACTTGAATGTTATGACTGATGAGAGGTGTTATACATGATGATGGAGCACTTGTCAAAGTAAAACCTACTACAGAAGATAAAGGTGAAGCATTTAATCTACACAATGAGAAGATATTTCATATTTACCTTTTTATATGCATTGACATACTGGGTAATGAAGTATGGAGAATTAAAACATACACTGTATTCACATCCAGGAGAGTTAATGTAGAATTTGAAATGGGAAAGTAGCACAATGGAACAAGTTTCTTCCAAAGTTATTTAGACCCCCCCCATATCATTCCATCATTACTACATATTCACTTGATGTACCATTTGGAGCTTGGATGAGCCTGTTAACAGCTGCAGTGACATAGCCTCTCCCACCTTTCCAACAAGAACTAGGGCAGAAAGGTGAGCAAATCCATTTCTTCTATACTGAAATTATTATTAAATAATATAGATGATGTGATATGTTAAGATATTTGGTACCAAATTATAAAGATTGTAATAATATTTGCTTCTTGATATGTGCTACACATTTTTCATTTTAACATTAATATATTATCATCTTTATAACATACAGTTTTAAAAGAAACCTGAAAGAAATTAATACTGCAATATAGTATAACAAAACAAAAAAGAAATATGATACAAACAGCTGAAAGTAATAAAATAATCCACAGTTAACACACAACCTTGTGTAATGTGAATTGTATATAACACAGACAAAATAAAGTTATAACATATATTTGAACTATAACACAGACAAAATAAAGTTATAACATATCTTTGAACTATATTTTTTCTGCATTGTACTGAAATTAACTTATGAGAAAATAAATAAAATAATATAAATTGCCCTCATTTAATTGTATGCGGAATAGTTTACTCATACATACATACATCTTTATTACATTCCAACTCCACATCAGCTGTTGATGTTTGTTTTCTAAGTTTCAACTACATAGGCAGTATGTTCCTCTGAAATTTTGGTATCTGCTTTTAAGCCCATATGGCATTACAACCCAGAACACCAACACTGACATCCACTACCATTTGAAACCTCAAGTCTCTACTTCAGCTATTAATTTTTACAGCATGCTTAAAAATGGCTTACTCAAGCCAGAAATAAAATTACAAGTTCTTCCACAACTGACTCCCATCTGGAATTATCATTCACTTCCTGATAAGCAAGCAAAAGAGATTATTCTTACGTTTATAATATGTAGTGCATTCACATATGATTCTTGATAAAACAGCCAACAGTACTAGAATTCATGGCAGTACAAATTCTTAAAAGTTCCAAATCTTGTAACAGACATCTTCATAATGAATTGTGCAAAGAACTGAACATGGTTGTATCTAAAAAAATATACTTCAGTGGTAACTAAAACCAAGAGTTATTCCATTAAAAGGAAAATTAATAAAATAAAAGTTGTCATACTCCATGCTTCCTTTGTCATGTTCTCCAGTTTCCAGTAGTCGAGCAATTGAATCAGTATGTTTCCAAAATGTATAACGCACTTATATTGAAAACTATCAGATGACAAAGAATAGTGGATGAATATCAGTTTAATAAGTATATACATTTGGTTCAGACATAACCTCAAGGCATACATATCGAAACCAAACACTGCAAACACTGAAAGCATTAAATATACAAAATGACGTGTCATAAAATCTTACAGGTAACTTAAAATTTTTAATATGCTATAATGCTTATATAGTAATAGTGTAATTCAATACAAAGCTTTTTTTTGCACACTACCAGCTACAAATAGTTGCATTCTATTGGAAAATGTCAAGAGACTGATCACTATTTACATTTATTGTATTAAGAATGGTCATAATAAATATGGGGTTCATATCAACAATGTGTTACATTTTTTGCACTTAACCACAGCCTTTCAATGCATCTGTTACATCCTTATTCACTCTAGTCAAAATATAGAATATTCCCATACACATAAAAAAGCTAAAATGGATTTACTCCAAAGCCAGATCAGAGATAAAGCCTCTAACCTAGGACCAAGGGTATGATAATTCACTGTGTGGTAAGGATTATCGCATACTTGATGTGGTGGTGGTAGCTGAGTGTAGAGCAATGGTGGAATGATGACTGATACAGGGAAAATGAAAAACTCATGACAAAAATCTACTCCAGTGTCACTTCATTCTTCACGAAACTTTTTGAAAATAGGTCTCTGTACCAAGATGCTTCTAGCTACCTGAATTGTGGTACAACCAAATTAGGGTATGCCCTACTTTATGCTATTGCAGCCTGACATTTTTAAATTATAATCTTAGAACATGTACTATCCTGAAAAAAACCAGTTATTACTCTGAACAAATCTATCTTTATTTTTTTTATTTTTTGGAAATACTGGTCTAACACAATTAATAAGACATAATATCATAAAGCCGGCCGCAGTAGCCACTTAGTTTGAGGCATGATCCTCATGCGCCTGACTGCTGCGACCGTGGGTTCAAGTCCCACTCAAGGCATGGATGTTTGTCCGCTACCAACCCACACTGGCCAGTGTGGTAGTGTATGGCTAAAAATCCCCAAATGGGAGACCTATGTCCAATAGTGGACACTGAGAAGTTGAAGGGAAAAAAAATATCATAAAACCTAAATATGAATGCACATCCTGTACACATCAAACTGACATGGATTAGCATTTATAAAAATTAAACAATCATTTAGTCACAAGCATATTTAGTGCACAGATTGTAGAAGATTCACATGAAAGAGTAAACTTTTAAATATAATAGAACATATATCAACTTTTCAATAGTTCACAAGGGCATACATAATATTATCACCTTCTAGCAATGGAACTAAATTTAGTACAAGTTACATAATGTACTGTCAAACTTTCCACGTTATTTACCTTCCAGATGGTCCCCCAGGGTCAGGGCTGCCCACTGGCCTGGTAACCTATCTATAGAAAAAAAGTTGACAGTGGAACCACGGTTCCGGAGAATCTGACGTAAATACATCTCTGTAATGTAATGAAATGTAATAATTCTTATATAAGATAAGTACTTTTGATATTCTAAAACGTTTTTACCAGCACAAAATTATCTAGTCTACGACACTTCTTCTACAAGCGATTCACAGCTCAGCTCTTTCCGCAATAACAAAAGCGTATTGTTGACAGCAGTAATGTAAAAAGCTGACCATTGTTGTTGGTACATATTTACACATTGTTGATATGGATCTTTCACATTTTCATTACGCATCTTCGTTACGCTTTTTTTGCCAAATGACCCTTCCGTATAGATGTATTTACGTCAAAAAATAAAATATCTGTAAGGCTAAACCGGACCCACTGGAAAGGTAGTATGGTCAATTTTAGCCTAAGAGATGATCACAATGGTTCAAACATCATTTGAAAGAAAAAGGCCTACCCTAATTCCATACTTAATGTATCATATATTCAGTCACCTGTCCATAAATATTTTAACATAGATGACAAAAAATGCAACAGTATTGCAATTTTTGTTTATTGATCAATGTAACACATAGTGAAAACACTTTACTAATTCTGCTATTAAACTCCACAATGCATTAACACTACAAATCATCAGTTGATAGAACCAGCTACCATCGTATATAATCACGGTACTCCTCAATGATACTCATTCGCTTGATAGTCTCATAACCCAAGATGATGGCAAAGCTGAAACAAGCTGATTGTACTAGACGAGCTGACAGGCCCTTGGTGAACATTCGTAATCGCTCCTCTGACCACAAGATGTGGAATGTCCTCTGCATAGAGCCCAAACGCTGAACCTGTCATATTATGAGGTAAATTATATGAAAGCAGATATACACAAACAAATTTAATGCATTAACACAAGCTCCGAAAGTGTATTCTGTACTGGAATACAAATAATACCCTCATGCATTCTTTGCAATGTGCATTTAGAAGTATCAAAACTTTCTTGTTTGGTAGTTCCCACTTTGGCCACCACATTGCAGCAACTCATGTCTACCTCACGACTTTCCTCATCTGTGATTTTGTTATCACTGCTCATAGGACATTCAAAAGTATAATTTTGAGGTCATGTAGAAATTCCCAGAAAAGTAAGTATATATCTGTTCTGGCTGGAATGATTACCAAAACATTAATTACAGACCAGAGATTGGCAGACCAAGGCAAAGATGGAGCTGAAGTTCAGAACAGATTATGAACCTAATCCCTGAAGAGAGATTATGAAGACCAGATGAAGTTCAAATGCTCTTACACTGTACAAGCAAATGTCTGGTATGTAGATGATGTGAACAGAATTTAAAAACAGTGTTACCTGCAGTCTTGCTCGAATAATGTCCAATGGATTGGTAATTAATGTTGTTGTGAAGCCACCAAGAGTTCCAGCCATGCACTGGATGAATAAATGTGACACCCAGTTAGGAAGTACTGCATGCAAGTGATCTGGAAAAAACAGAATACACTAGAAATTCATTATAGCTTATCATTTAAATATAATTTTATTTCAATATATAAACATTATAAGTTCAGTTAATAAATGGATTTTGCTTGGTTATATTACTTCTTATAAAATAAATTCAGTATAATATTAATTTGATGTACATGCACACACGCACACACACAAACTCCATGGACAAGATCCTATCCTCTGCTAGATGAATGTAGTCTACAAACTACAGCTCTGTTCATATGCATATATACAGTGAAACCTCTATCCATCGTTCCCGGAACTATCGTTTTCCCGGATGCATCGTCCGTTTTGTTCGGTCCCGGATACATCCCATATAAAATAATGTTACATTTTCCCGCTTCTATCGTTCCTCGAACTATCGTTTTATCGCATCGATCGTTCAAAAATCTTAGTCCCGGCCCACAATTTTCCCGCAATGATCGTTTCTGAGAATTTAAAATGCTGGGTTTTGAGATAAATTAATACCGAACGACGCACAATGTTTTTGGAATAAACAGTAGCGGTAACCTGTTATGTCGCCCAACCAGCACAGATTCTTTTGGAATGAGGGGTCAGCGGTGCAGGGGTGATAGTTGGAGTGAATGGCGGGGCCCATTGTCAGGAATTTTACGATTTTAATTTGGGTGCACTCATATTTCGTTCCAGCGATGCCAGATGGCATGTGCAGTGTGAATTTCTTCACAAATGCTTTTATTATAAGTACAAAGGAAAGGCGAGCGAAACTTTTTCATTCTTCTGGTTCATATCGTGTCTTCTACAGCTACGTTTCGTTGAGTTCGGCAGTAATAGTACTTCCATTTTTCCTGTTATAGTCCGCGAAGGTTGAGGGAGCGGTGAGGAAGAGGGAGAAACGACGAATGCGAGCCCGAACTTTGCCGAGGTTTGCCGAAGCACACGCTGCATTGGCAAAAGTGAAGTCGTTCTTTTATGCGCATAATATTAGTGAACGTGACGAAGAAAGCATTTTGAACGTGGAAAGGGCTCTGTTTGGCCTAAAACGTAAAGTTTCGACAAACCAGTTGTCCATTAAAGACTTTTTTGGTAAAAAGAAGTAACTTTGAAACAGAAACATTGTTTGTTTTTTTAAATTTTTTAATGCTTTCCCGCATCTATCGTTTTCCCGCATTCATCGTTTTTATTTCCCACCCCCGCCGAAAACGATGCATCGAGGTTTCACTGTATATATATACTTCCCCTGAAACTTCAAGTGGGGGGGATGTGTTTGCTGATGACAATAATAGGCCAGTACAAGTAAGAGTTTGGATACATTCATTATGAAGCAAATATTGGGATAAAATAAGCAAAAAGCATATTTACCAATAACAAAGAGAGGGTTAAGGTAACATTCCACATCCAGTTCTGTAATATAGGGCAATTAATTCTGTATTAAGTCAGTATTAAACAAAGAAACAAAATAAGTTAGTCCTGTCTCCAAAAGACTTGATGCTAAATGAAACTGTATATTTCTATTGGTCACTGTTCACTGCATTACCTCCTTGACTTGTTTTTGTGTAGTATTTACCTTGATACAGATCATAAAAGGCCCACCATAGGGCAGAATTTGGTACATAGGCGCATAATGAAGCAACGTAGCCTCTGTAGAAACCTCGCACACCGTCATGTAAATATATTTGTCGTGCTATATCTGTAGTCACCTGGAGACGTGAACGGGCTGGATCAAGTGATATGCCCAGTGGATTCAGCATCACCTGAAAATATATATTTTGAAAATAATGATAATCAAAATATGACTATACATAAATGTATATTAATGGCACAGAATTACAGTCAAAGTTGGTTATAACGTCATCCACAGAACCAGAGAAATTATGTCGTTGTGCACCTAGAAGCATGGTGAAGTTTCCAAACTTAATATTCACTTATGAATAACATTCATGTATGTTTCTCTAAGACAATCTTCTGATATTAGATAAATTATTGCTAAAATGTGACCCTTCATTCATTGCAGTCACCCTGAGTAATGTTACCACAGCACACTGTTCTTCCTCTGCCAAGATTCACTGCTGTCCTTCAAGGATTACATTCATCCTTAATATAAACCAAGAGAACGATGTGAAAAGAAGAGTGGCTGTAGAACAAGAACACCATTCTCTGCAAGAAAAACTTATGAATGAAAAGAAATACAACTACCTTGTTCTCTTTTCCAAGAACCATTAGGTGCTGACTGAGCACATCAAATGGGACAACAATAGTCTGCCCTACGAGTGATGCACATCCTCCAGCTACAAGAGATTTCATCCTTGTGTCAGCATCATAGCGGGTCAATACATGTCGTACACCTTCATACGTTGAGATGTAGAATACTCCAGACACAATTTGGAATGTGCTCACCCAGAAACCACGATATAACCCTGATGCTCCCTCATATCGGTAAATCTTGCTCCATGCATCAATCATACCTAACATAAAAATGAAACCAATGCAATGTGAAACAATAATATTAGTAATGTGAACTCTACTGACATAAAGTTCAGCCATTTGATTACTAAACCCTTGATAGAGGCTATAGTGTATCACCTCTCCAGGAATATCCCAATCTGCAATTTATACATTTTTTTTTTTACTTTTTTTTAATGAGTTCTATATGGTCAATAAAAAAATTACAGTGGAACCACGGTTCCGGAGAATTTGACGTAAATATGTCTATACGGAAAGGAGTTTATATAGTGGCTTTATTCTAAATATTTTCTTTATACACACTTTACAATTGATTAAAGTCTGAGTAAGACAGTACTGCCTACCTTGAATTAGTTACGCTTAAGATGGGTCTGTGGTAGCTGAAATATGTTATAAAATTTGTACATTTTAGAGTATCAACATATCGTGCTAACACCATATCTATAAAAGATTTTGATCTAGTAGTACTACACTGAGGATTTGACATCAACATTAAGCCAAACGTTTCTTCCATAAATGTGACAAAGCTTTGATTTTCCTCCTTCTTTAAAACAATGTTAAAATCTCCTGTCAATATTATCGGCATTGTATTAGGATTTTCTGTGGCCATAACTGAAAACATCTTTGTTGATATTTCCTAGGTAACCATGTTACACATTTTCCTGTCACTTTTTCGTTACAATTTTTTGCGGAATGACCCTTCAATATAGACATATTTACGTCAAAAAACTGTGCATACTCTACCACATTTTCACCAACATATGAAAGTATGTGTGTGTGTGTGCTTCTTTTAACATATGAGTCAGTGAACTACAAAATACTCCCCAGTTGGAGGATTAACATTATACATGATTTGCTGTTATCATTGCCTTTTCATGAACTGGTCCAAAATTGATCCATTTCAACTCCACTTTCCAAGTACTGCTTGCAAATTTTTAAATACAACTCTCAACTTCTACTGAGACACTGAGATCGCAATGGCAAAAACCACTAATCATGCAGAACATAATTTATGTGTGAATCAGAATGCTGATATACCAGTATTATGACAAGTCTACCGAAGTTATAAAAAACCTATCACCTCAGAACCCATGACTGTATTTCAAAACATTACTCAAGACTGCAGTTCTCAACATGCAAAACAAACCTGACCTTGAGTAACGTTCAGGAAGACAGAAGTTAATGTGGTGTCTTCATACTTTAAAATCAATTTAAATTGAAGAAGTAAAATGTCATCGCAAAACTCCAAAAATCTAACTGAATTCTTCCTGAGAATCTTACCAGTTAAATATTTTAGTTCATGACTACTTGCTTACCTTTGTACATCTGATCATGTCTTTGCACTTGCAGTCTGGTCTTGATAACAGTTAAAGGATAGAGCACACATCGAACTGAAAATGTACTAAGCATACTCAGGGGGAAAAACTTGCTTTTGTCCATCATATCCCATTCAATTGTTCGAATAAACTGTGGAGACTCCACAGCGGTTGTCATGCTTAAAGCTTAACCTTTATCATCAGTCGGTAACATCTCATTACGTCATGAACTCCAACTTGCTTCATAAGCAGCAAATGTTGGTAATGTCAGCATAATTGTTGTGTCTAAATAAAAAATGTCCATGTACCCTTTCCTGTAAAGTGAACAAAGATGCCTCAAAATATAACTCGTAACGTTAAAGAACGCATTAACTGCTACAGTTTCTATACTGAAGTTGTACTACAAACAATTGAAAATAATATTAATCAAGTCAAAGTTGCTCTAATTGACTTCTAATGCCAATCATAAAATACTTCATTAAAGGCTCGAATAACGGTAATGAATAATATACTTACGTAATTCTACTAAAATAACATAATAGAACTTGCTACGACTAGTGGCCATAGCATAAACGCCATCGTTTTCGTAATAAAGTAAGACTCAGAAGACTAAACTGCACCATATTGTGACGTCAAATCAGATGCTACCAAATCCATGTGCCGATAAAATAATTGGCGACACTGCTTTCCACTTTGGGTTGCCATGGTAACACAAACGTATACAAATTTAGTTTATCTTCTTCATGTAACATTGCCCATTATTTTGCGGAAAAACGTCAACCTGTTTTATATCATTTTATACCACAACAATGGTATGCGGCGTACTATATATTCTATATACACATACAAGTTGTACATGCTTGTGCATGTGTGTATGTATAAATAAGTATTTTTTTCTTCTTAAATTTTTTATTATTGCAGCCACCCAAAAAGAAAGGCGGTGGTGGAGGAAAGGGAGGTAAGAAAAAGTCAGAGGGATATGTCATTGATGGTGTATCAACAACAGAAATGACTCGAGAACAACTGGAAGCATTTGCCCATCGTTTACAGGAAGAAATGGAAAGGGAGCGAGAAGAACGTAACTTCTTCCAACTTGAAAGGGACAAACTCAGGACCTTCTGGGAAATAACAAAACAGCAACTGGAGGAGAGTCGTGCAGAACTGAGGTCTGTATAAGCTTGAAATTGAACCATGAGTCATACCAATACAAGTCACATTATAGTTCTGAGACTTGAACAGTACTTGCATCTAACTTACTTTTTCCCTCAAAGGCAAAATCATTTTTAAAACATATTCTGTACACTCCCACCCCCTCCAAATTTTTACAGTACAACTAAAACATGTTTAGTGCACATTCTTTATGTATTGGTAAGAGAGGGCCTTCAAACTAGTGTTGGATACAATAACCTGACTTTCTCTTTTTAGGAACAAAGATCGAGAAATTGAAGAAGCTGAAGAAAGACACCAAGTGGAGATTAAAGTTTACAGACAAAAAGTGAAGCACTTACAATATGAACATCAAAATAATCTTTCAGAACTTAAGGTACCAACATGAGCATTTTAAATACCTGACTTACAAACCCACTACATTTTCATTATTATTACATCTTTTTTGTATGTATTAGGCAGAGAGTATGGTATCACTTAAGATGGCCCAAGATGACTACAATGAGCAAGAAACGGAGCTCCTTAGAGACAAAAGAAAACTTAAAAGTCAGCAGAAAGAACAAGAACTATCCCATCAGGATGAGATTCGAACAATATTCATGGTAAGATGTTTACTTTTCTGTACCAAGTAAAGCAAATCTATAAACACTACTTCTGTATACAATCCATCCTTTCAGAGACTTTCATTTTCTGATCCTTCCTCTGAATTGGTATCTTATAATTATATTTTGGAATTTTATTATGACTCATTTATTTCCTTAACACTGAAAATCTTTCAAGGTAAAAGAAATACAAATAATGGAGATACAATGACACCTTCACGAAAACATCAGTGTTCCAGGCACATCTTACTTACCTGAAATACCATCTTAGAATTCTAGCTGCACTTTCATAACAGTGCAGTGCTTGTGCACATAAATCCATACAAGAATACAGAAAACATATAATGCACTGTGTTTATGTCATTAAATATTCAACAGATAAAATAATGTTTTAGATACAATTTATATAATCAACAAGAAAACTATTTAACTCCTCACATTCTAAGGTATGATGATTTGAGAAATTCATATAATTTTTAGAGTGAAATACTGTGCGTTGATGATTTGAGAAATTCATATAATTTTAAGAGTGAAATACTGTACGATGATGAGTCTAATTACAGAAAACTGCAACACCACTTAGAGCAGTGTCTATCTCACTCCGTTCAGGCTCATTTTGAATAAAGCGTAAAATTGTCTTTTGCAAGGAATGACTTTTACTGGTGGCATCTTCTATATACCAAAGTTCTTTTTTCTTTTCTTTTTAGAACCACAGTGAAGAACTTGGTAAAATTCGTGGTACATTTGAAGTTGAAGCCCGAGAGATTGAAGCAAAATATGAAAAGCGACTAACAACTCAGAGAAATGAACTTAACCTAAGGCACAGAATGGAATTAACTGAAGTTGAAGAACGAAAAAATAAGCAAATAGCTGAACTAATGATGAATCATGAAAAAGCATTTTCAGATATAAAAAACTACTACAATGACATTACCTTTAATAATCTTTCGCTCATTAACAGTCTCAAGGTATATGCAAAATACTGATTATATATTTTGAATAAAGAACTTAAAGGTTGTAGGTAGTCCTGCCTCTATCCTTTTCCCTGAAAATTCCATTATGTCTGTAATGATATAAGACAGCAACTAAACAGGGGCAGGCTAATACAAAACTGCATATGTTGAAAATTAAGAATGAATATTCTGCACTAAAACAGCAGATATCATGTAAGTTGAAACTGAACACAATATGTAAAAGTTTATATCATAAAATAAACTCCTCAACCACAAAATTATTTAGTGGACAACAGTAACTTCCATCTTCAGCAAGCCAATATCATCAGATTTATGGACTACCCTGTTTTGACTTTGCAGACTTCCTTTCAATCTTTCCTTCTCCAAGTACTTTTATCTGTTAGGTGCTTGTAACAACCATAAATCATGATTAACAGTGACGATGGAATTACACTCACACAACAGTACCAGTACCATAGATAGTACTTAACTCAAAACTAAGAGAAAAGTTAAAGAAACAGAAGAGATTGGATTTGTCTACAAGGAAGCAATTATCAAATCAGGCTTCTTCCAGATAACAAATCTGTATCAATAACCAACCAAAATGAAAATACAACTATGTAAAATGTAACTACTTGCATACACTTTTCAGAAAAGTCACTGTGTTTGGCACAAAATGGTTTATTTCTCACCATGAAAACCTACTAACTCCTACCTAAATTTTATGTTCCTACATATTTTTTCCAAGTTCTTTCAAATTTATATTATTTAATTATGCTACATCTTGAGGTCTTTCAAATTTATATTATTTAATTATGATACACCTTGAGGAAAAAAATAAATATCAATAAACTCTTCAAACCACAAATATACCCTTATATTAAAGATTCAAAACAAGAATTTTAAATAAATCTATCCCAGATGTACATAAAACCAGACTGCCTATCACTGGAAAAATAAAGTTCAAATTAATGAACACACAATGAATTTAAATCTTTGGAGACAATATAAAGCAAACCAAACCCAAGACTTGTATTAGTTTAAGGGGCAGTTTGGCTTGATGTAAACTCTTACTGATGACAAAGCAGGAATATAATTTGTTATACTAATTCCCAGTGTATTCCTCTTGAATAGGAACAAATGGAAGGAATAAAGAAGAGAGAAGAACGTATGGAAAAGCAGTTACGCGATGTCACAGTAGAGAACCACAAATTGGTAGAACCTCTGCAACAAGCTCAGGCTGAGGTTAATGAATTGTCCCGCCAAATGAAAAATTATGAAAAAGACAAGATTTCACTAGCCAACACAAAGACACGTCTTGGATTATGTCAGAAGGATTTTGAGGAGTTGAAATGGGAAAATGAAGTTCTGGAGCTCCGATTTGAGAAAGTAAACAGATACTAATTTACTTATAATAATATTAATTTTACGAACATTTCCTTTTAATGAGAAAAGAATAATTAGGTGGTATGGATATACAGAAAGAATGATCATCACCACATACCAAAACAAATAATAAATGTGGCACTGCCTGAAGAAAAGATAACGAAAATTTAAATGTGTCTAAAGATGGGAAAATCCTAATTTTAAACAACCAAAATCCACCAAAAAGTATGATTTTTTCAGGAGTGGAAAATTCTCCCTCATAAAACTTGATGGGGGGCAAAAGATACAAGGTAGAGGGCAGTATGAAAAATTATTTACTCTGTCAATGTGTTTCTAAAAATATTTTTAATGATTAGAAGTTAATTAATAAATACTTAGTAACTTTTTGCAGGAAATGCAGCAATTTCAAGGTCTTCCACTGCTTGTTGTGTGTATGTAAATTCAACCTGAAAATCACTTCAGACTGATTGTTAATGTAGTCTAATTTTTATTAATGATATGAACAAGAAACCAGCATAACATGAATACTGAATGCTTGAATATTTTTGACAAGATAAGCAAGAATCATACCTTTTCTAAAATAGTTTTTTTTAAATTACAGGATAAGTATCAAGTGTTGACCTGTTCACATTCATACAATTACATCAGATTCAAGTCAAAAGCAGAGCTAGTACCTTTTTCACTGACAACACCGACTTTCAGTATTTTCACATCATACAATATGTTAAGGAATTAATCACAGAGCTAGTACCTTTTTCACTGACAACACCCACTTTCAGTATTTCCACATCATGCAATATGTTAAGGAACTAATCACACAGCTGATGATGAAGTGATAAGATCCAGGACTTCACTTCCAGAAGTTCTAAAACAATGACTAGATTCTACTGTGTACTGTTTCAGCTACAACAAGAACGGGATGATCTACACAATCGGTTTGTAACAGCAATATTAGAACTGCAACAAAAGACAGGGCTCAAGAATGTCTTACTTGAGAAGAAACTGGCAGCCCTAAATGATTTACTGCTGCAGAAACAAGGTCAAATTAATGAGGTGTTAGCAGCAGCTAATCTAGATCCAACAGCAATGGCCACTGTGAACAAGAAACTTGAGGTAAGTCATCACAACAGATGTAAGAAATAATTCCAAGTGCTTTTATGACCACATCTGTAATTAACCCCAAAACACCCAACTTATGTCTTACAAGTATGAAGATCCAATAGTAAAATACATTAATTGCAAAATGTTTTGAAATTTATGATACAATGCCACTTGTTCTACTATATCATTATGATCTACTTTAAATATGTTAGTGCTCACTTCAGTACCCTCTTTGTAGAATGTATTCATTCTCAACCATTTCCACAATGTATAAAAAAAATATCAACTTACTCTCTCATTCCTTACTAATGGCCCTGTGACATAGGTTAAGACACATTTAGGAAACACAAACAATTGTTAAATTTCAGGAGCTGCTGAGTCGGAAAAATGCTGCCCTCCAGGACCTGCAGTATGAGTTGGCAAGGGTATGCAAAGTACATGATGATCTTCTCCAAACATATGAGGGAAAGCTAAAGCAATATGGCATACCAAAGGAGGAGCTGGGTTTCATACCACTGCAGGCCACTATGCGCGGCACTCGAATACGTCGCGGACCTGCTGGTTTTGTCACCACAAATCAGTAGACTGAATCTCCTCATCTAACATTACAGATAACTCATAATTATGCTACACAAAAATAAAACTTAAAACAGCTTCTATACTACTGTAGTCATAATGAAACATAAATATGAGTATGTAACACCTTTTGTACATAAACAGTATGACTTGTCATAAAAAATAATGAATCATAAGTATAACAGAAGTAAGGTATTTCAGCAAGAAGTATTTTTGACATATATTAGCAACATATGAAATGAACTTTCTTGTTACATTTATGGAATTCAATAACATACAAAATATCAGTTTTGAATACTGTTCTGCATATCAAGTAAAATACTGTTTCATTATATTATGAGTTAATATTATTTGATACTTATTTCTCTCATAATAAAACACCACTAACTGGGGGATACTGGGACGACCCATTCTTCAAGTGCTTGAGCACTACGGGTCCCAACTTTTCGTTGGCTCGATCTATAGACATTGGGTAGGACTAATTGGACAAGGGATTGGCCCGTCACAAGGCCTCTACCTGTACACAGGACAGCACAACACAGAAAAACGTGGACAAACATCCATGGCTCTTGAGTGGGATTCGAACCCACGGTCCCAGTGACTGCGCGGCCACTGTGACCCCCTTGGTTAAATATCAAACCTGGAAGACATATCCATTCTTAGAAGAAACGTGGGAATGCTGGAAAATGCCACAAGAAAATAACAATTAAAATACAGAGATAAGTAATATGATCAGGTTTAGGATCCTACCACTTTCTTCTATGATAATAATCACATTCAGAATTACTGAGACTGTTATTGTAAACAAAGACTATAAGACTTTATTAACACAATCTATAATAAAATTAAACATCTGTTCAGCACACTGCTTATATGCACAGTTTTTCTGCAAATAGTAGTGAGGAAGAAAGAAACAGCTAAAGCAATACATCTGCTCTAATTATAAAATGGCATAATATTGTTAAAAACTAACACCATTATGGGTTTCTCCTAAGTTTTTAACAAGTTAATTTGTACTAAGATTTCTCTTCTCAGCCAGTGCAATATTCTCACATTATATATGATTCTTATAATCTAATATTGCATCATATTTAATTACCTTTCAAAATGATGTTCATCTTTTAAAAAACACTAAATCAGTTACAGACTGTATGTGGCTCTGGATCTACACAGTAATGGTCTAATCTTGTCACCAAAACAAAGGGAATAATAATTTAAACACAAACCATACAATTGCTGCAATTATGTTTTAGAATCTACTCCACCTAAGTTACACAATTTAATAATAATTCAATCTTATGTAAATCTGACCACCCCTCTATCAAGCGCTTCAGTTTAGGATTACATGGAGCTTTAATTCCATTCTCTCTATATGTCTTCACTGTGTGATGTTAAGCACAGAACCATTTTTATTGTAAATATCACTGTGCTGTATTAATTACACCAAAGCATAATCCCACATTTTCCTTCTTCCAAAACAATGATTTTTGCATTTTGAAACAAAAATAAACAATGGCAAAGTAACTGAAAAATCTCCATAACAAACAGTTTTTTCAATGTATATGTTCACTGATGGTGCATACCATGACTGAAACACTTGGATTTTCATGCACCAATTAAAAGCCTCTAAGTGTGTGATATTATAAAGTAATAAAAACAACATTGCATTACACTTAATTTAAATCCTTTATATGTTTCAGTCTTTGGGTACCAGCACCTATTTGACAAACAATCAAATATTGTATTTATTATCCACTTACATTTTTTATTCTCTAAATTTTATCCTTTTCTTTACAGGTTAGATTTTATAAACATACAAACTTTCTTAATGAGGCACATGGCTATGGTGTACAGCAAAATGTGAAGCCAAACAAGATCAACGACAGAAAATAATTCAAATTGATATTTAACAAAAATTTCAAACATTATCTACAGCAGCTGAGCCCCTGACTTATGAAAGATATGAAAAATCTTCACAAAGTTAAAACACATACAACTTTCAAAACTGTGATAATGCTTTCAATGACTTTAGACACTAAATGGAAAAGGGAAGTACTCCTAGCATTGGTTTAACAGTGTATTAATTGCTACAGACTGCAGTGTTATTTATCAAAGAAGTATAATCGTGAACAGACTGCAGTGTTATTTATCAAAGAAATATAATCATGTACTTCAAATCCTTGAAGAAAGGAGGCACCACCAATAAAAATATCACATATTTTTACCCCCCCAAACAGTACAGCAGTATACCAGACTTAATACACAAACCTATTCAAAGTCGGGACTGTATCAATACCAACTGCTCACTCTTTCTGTAGCTACTTGTTCCAGAATTCCACCAGGATTACAATTTTTTACCATGCTAACAATGCCACAAGATTTCAAAAATAATATATCCTTCAAATTGGTGACAAAACTGAGCACAACATTAAACAATTAAAGAACTCAATAAGAAACTATACATATTTTCTACACATGTGAGCAAAATGGCTTCTGTACCATATAAAAATTCTGGGATATTGTGACTTATCAAATAATTTAACAAAAATTACAATGACAACAGGAAAACATGCACGGTTCTATAATATCTTCAAATAAAAACACTAAAGCCAAAATACATGTCTAGACATATGGTGAAAGAATACCTATTTAAACATCCCCACATTTATTTTTAAATTACTGACATCTATTAAAAATATTTTATAATACGTAACTCATCATCTTATTTTGGTAACAGCAAAATTCCATATAAAAGTGAAAATAATAAATACTTCCTATGGAAAGCCCAATCAGATGATCAACATAAATTATAAATATCTTTGGAAGAAGCCCAATTTGTCTCATTTCACTGAAAATTTAAAAATATAGTTGTAACTCTTCCAAAATTACATTTAGAACCTGTATGAGCAATTAAAATGGGCAACAAAGAAGTAGGTTGTGCTGTGTGAGGTGGCTGAATACATTCAGGATTGTGTCCAATAACAGGCTTTAGTGCTGAACTTTCAGGTTCTCCAACCTCAGCATAAGCTCGTTAATGTCAGAGGATTAAACAAACCTCTGTAATATAATAATTATGCAGTTTGGATGATTCCTGTAACAATCCATTTTACTTTCATGTTCAGATCAAAATGTCCCCTTACTTATCACAGGAATGAAGGGAAAAATAAAATGAAATTGCTTCTAGAGATGAAAGATTAAATTTGTGCTGAAAAGAAATGAGGATAGCTGAATCCAGATTATTTGGTGCAGTATCATAAGACA